GTATGGGGGAATGACCCAAGGTTTACTGTTTAGGGAACAGCAACCTGAAGCCGTTGACTTGTTTTGGATTGGAGATTTTTTCGTTAGGGTTTAGGGTTTAGGGTTCATGCTAGGGACCTCCAAAACAATCTGTAATCCGCACATGTCCCTCAGGGCCCCTCCACATTGAGAACTCCCATTTCACGATTTCGCATGTTTAGGGTACAGGGTCTTCAAGTGGCTGCACTTGCTACCCGTTTTCTACTGTTGATGGAGGAAATCTTGCACCACCTTAAGTCCCTAAAGTCCGAGGAATTGCGTTAGTTTAGGGCCCCTAGGTGGTGCAAGATTTCATCCAGCAGCAGTAGTGCATTTGTTTGCGAGCAACTGGGCTTACTACAGTGACCTTACCCGATCTCACTCCAAATGTACTATAGTCTAAACTCCTTAAAGGGGGTTAACTAGGGCATTTTCAGGGAATTACTATAGGGCTTATTAAGGGGGATACTAGGAGTTTAGACTATAGCTCAAATGGTAGCTTCGTTTGAAAAATTGCAAATTGACTTACCTTGGTTCTGAAATTATGTGATCCATGGTCTAAACTCCTCGTATCCCCCTCAATAACCCCTATGATATCCCGTATAACCCACTTTTAAGGATATAGCTCATGTCCTGGCCCATAATACTGCAGTTCCAGGTGGGGACTGGTACTCGCACCAGAGGAGCGGTTACTTTGGGGTCCCTGCCTCTTTGAGGAGGAGGCGGGATGTAGAATGGGGTCCCAATAACAGAGGGAGATTCGATGGAACACTTACAAAATAAAGTAGAAACTGAGTTGCCATTTGCCATCCTCATGAGTAGCCCACCGAGACAGTCCAAGATACTAAGTCCCCGAAAGGACTGTTAAGAGTATTTCTTGGAGTCTTCAAGAGGATTGTCCTGTAGTTCCTGATGTTTGGCGAGTAATCGGTTTGTGGGCACAGGGGCTGGTGGATTACGGGTTTATGTTTTAGAGGTTCTGGGTTTAGGCTTCAGACCTTTCAAAGTTCAGCTTGTGCTGGAGGCCAACTCGATGTCGTAGCAGAGCGAGGGTAAACTGGGCTGCTGTTGAGGAACCTGAACTACGCTATGACCCCAAACCCTAAACCAAACCCCAAAGCGTGTGGCATATACCATAATGTGGGTACGTGTCAAAACAGTATGGTGTCCTCACTTTGGCAACTTGATCAAGATCCCTTAACAACGGCCAAGTGTGCCCCAAAGCCCTCGGACCTCTGGCAGCCTCTCCACCAGGCCATTCGCACTGTTGATCTCAAAAACCTTGCATGACCTTACTATACTATGGTACTACAACTCCCAAGGTACAAGGTACTTAATTTTTAGTATTCGCGGTAGTATGAATAAGTAGCTGTTATTATCAATACTGGTATCATCTGACTTAGTATCATTCTTACCGTTATTGTTAGCATTATCATTGTTTTCATTTTCGGCGGGTGACAGAGACTTGTCGAGGTTCGCCCTAAACCCTAAACCCAAACCCTAAACCCTAAACCCAAACCCAAACCCCCTAAACCCTAAACCCTATTAATGAGTATCGCGGCAAGTCAGACCCCACAGACGGACAGCTTACGGCTCAGGGTTCATGGTGGGGGTTTCTTGGGCTTAGGTTAAGCCAATCCCCCTATAGACATAGCTCCTTATAGGGCGTTACTATACCTACAATAGTCCCTTGTGGTACCCATTACTGGGTGGAGGATTGACCCAATGGGGGGGGCAGCAAGCGAGCGTGAAAGAAGCCGTAGCCTAGCCAGTCGGGAGAGAGGCTCGGGCTCTAGCGAGATCCCGCACAGAGAGGCCGACCAGCACACAGAGAAAGCCATGACCGAGGCGAGCGATGTTTAGACCCTTCGGGGCTGCATGAGTTGCCTGAGGGACTGTCGGCAACAGAGTTCCGAGCTCTGTGGCTTGGCATCCTGGACCTCATCACCGAATCTCAGGCTGCAAGGATCAGGAGCGTCATGGATAACAATCAGGATGATCCAGAACTGCTGAGGTTGATCGCTGACAGGATTGCAGTGCGGGAACGGGCTATGGCGTGGCAATTAACCCACCGCGAGACAGCTCTCGCCATCGTTGGACTTCGGCTTGCACTTACCAGGGTCTAAGCCTCAAACCCTAAACTTTGTGTTTAGGTTTTAAGGTGGAGCCTTGAGGGTTGAGAGCTTTAGATGCATGCCCACCGTATGGCGGACGTGCTTGCTTTGAGAATAAATTCCAGGCTCCCAATGTAGACCCCTGATTAATAAACCCCCTCCCCTTAATAGGGATTATAAAAAGGATTCTGATATTAAGGCCCTTAAAAGGAGGGGGTTTATTAATCATTTGTCTACACTACCCTGGAGGCTCCTAGGACTACTCAGGGCTTTCTGCGTTTGGGTTTTGGGGGCTGAGGTTCGGGATCCCATTGCGAAGGTCGGAGAGCCTAGGGTTGACTCTGACTGGACCTCCACCCAGTAATAGTGACTATAAGGGTTCATGGTGATTATGTTGGGGACGTTTTCTTATATCCCCATTATACCCGTAGTACAGGGTGGGGGTCCACCTAAGATAACCAAGGGATTGCAATAGTACTCCCTCCAAAGGTACCACCCCTAGGGTTTAAGGAGCTAATGTGGACCATATAGGGCTTAACAAGGCCTAATAGGGTTCTAAACCCTGGGTGGGTACCTTTGGGGGGGGTACTATTGTAATCCCTCAATAACGTGAACGTTTAACAGCCTAAGCCAACGCGGGTTCAACCTCGAAGGGTCTCCCTTGAGGCTTTCCCGCTAGACTAGAATCACCCTCCGGGTTTAAGGTGGGCTTAGGGCCTCAGATTTGAAAGGAGCATAGGGCATATGAGCTATAGTCTGAATTCCTTAAAGGGGGTTATGTAGGGGATTATATAGGGCAGCTTTATAGGGCTTATTAAGGGGGATACTAGGATCTTAAGCAAGGCAATGGCTCAGATTTGGAGCCAGCATACGGTATATAAGGTGATGGAAGACTGGCTCCATCCACAATAGTGAGTACTATTACCATTACTATCGCGATGAATATCCTTCCACTGCCATTACTGCTAGTCTGGAGACTGGACTTTGTCTTGCCTGCAGATTGCTTCGGTACTTTCAGGTTCTACACACGAATGGTTTTGGGCTGGACTGCGATCAATGCAACGCTGCTGCTGCTCGAGTCCACCTCTTCTGTGCAGGGTATTGCTTTCTGGCAAGAAACTTTCTGGAGCGGCAACTTTGTTTCTGCCACCTGGAGTTTTCGCTTCATATGTTCAAACACATTGGACTGCGCTGGACAAGGAATCTACAAACTTTGACATCTGTGGTTCTCTCACCTGCAGCATTCCTCTGTGATATGTCAGAAGACTTTGTGGGTATCTGCGCGAGAATTTCGCGTCGTGTAGCGGCACGGACTTGGGGACAGCGAACGTACGCTCTTCCGTGCTTGTCCAGAGTTTGTGCAGCAGGGTTTGTAGCTGCTTGCTGGAACTTAGGTTACTGTTCTTCTTCAATCTGAAATTCCCTGTAAACCTTTGGAAATAGAACCAGCCACACTTGACAATATTCCTGCCAGCCATGAATGCTTGATCCATGTTCCCAGCAGGCCTAGATAGATTAGTGTCATGGTCAATAGGTCATGGAGCTCAAGGTAGGGCTTAGGAAGCCTAAGCCTTGAATGATTCTAAATCCCAAGCCCATCGATTTAGGGTTCATGGTTTAAGGTATACTTGTGGGCACTTGACCCTGCAGGGGCACCCACGCAAGGATATGCTGAATGGGAATTTATATAAGGCATTCTTCATAGAATTCGTTCCCAGAATCCCTGTAAGAAATCCTGCCTGAACCAAAGGGGGTTACAAAGTTTAGAGTCACGACTAGGTTTTACGGCTGGGAGCTCGAAAGCCCCTTGAGCACTGTATAGGTAATGGCCCTATGTCCCCTATATCCTGCACCCGAAGCCCTAAGCCCCATGTGCTTCTGCACAGGTCTTTCGTGCCTGGTGCCCCCACCGGCGTGGAGCACGAAATCTGAAGCCTACAGGGTTGAAGCTTAGGGCTTAGGGTTAGGGTTGATAAGGGCTTGGAGTTTTTTTGGATTTTGGGCGTGCAATATCAGTGAAAGGTTTAGAACCTGGGGGTGACAACGGTTTATGCCCTAGGGCGTCAACTTAGGGTGCATGCCACACTTGCGTTTGGGATGTTTTTCCTCACATAGCTGACATAGCTACACCTTAAGCCCTCAGCCCTAAACCCTTAATCTACCACCCCAGTATATCTTTCAGAGCGTCTTAGCACCGAAAACCAACAATGCCTGAAGTCCCTTGCGAAGCCAGATAGAGGTTGTAAGGTTAAGGGTTCTAGTGGTTTAGCGTTTAGGGAATTCGGCGTTTAGGGTTGAAGGGTTTTAGGGGTTTGGGGGTTTAGGCTTGTTGGTTTAGGATTCACCAAAACAGGGGTCCCCCTGATACTGAAAATCCTGACACGTAGATATGGCGTTTCGCATCTCAGAACAGAGTTGATTGGCTCAACTTCGTGGACGTCGCTATATGAGTCCTTAAAGGGGGACTATATAAGGTTTAGGGTTTCGGGCTTATATCCCTAAAAGGGAGGCGATATAGGGGATTATATAGGGGACTTTGATAGGGCTTCGGAGGGATACGAGGAACTCTTGGCCACGAAAGCCAAGGCCTCGGCCCTCTCCCCTTCCACCTCGCTTTTTCACCCGGCATTCCATGACTCCAGGCCACACGGCGCACCCTTCACAGCCGATGTTGTTTGCCGATACAACCAATCGCAGTCTGAAATCTGAAACTACTGAGCGACAAGGTAAGGAAAACCCATGTCATAAGCTGGTAATCTCCTACAGCCTCATATACGGCTATGGCTATAGATGTATTATAGTTACCTTGCCAAGCGCTAAACACGGTTCAGGGCTCAGAGTTGAGGGTTTGGGGATTACTTTGCGCAGGCGGCCGTCCACGCTGGCAACAATCACAGTGCCTTGGTCTGCTGTTTGGTTTTGTATAATCCCAGTTTCCATTTATTTGTTGATGCTCTGTTCCAAAAGATGCACCGTATATAGCTCATACCTTCAGTCCTGCTCCTACAACTTGACTTCAGTACCTGACGCAAGATTTTCCAAGGCGGCTACCCCGCCATAACATTACCAGCTTCGTATTTCTCACATCATCAGGGCTGTTAACCTCAGTGATCCTTGCTAACCCCCACTCACCCTGCATCCTAAACACTTTTGAGCCCGTTTATACCTAGGAAGGGTACGATGGATCTGAAACGCTGCGCGGTTTTGCGAGCCCTAAACCCTAAATCCGAAAATGACGGGGTACGCTATGAGACCCTAGGGATATGTGGGGTTGCAAGCACATGACAGGGGCTTGTGAACACATGGGTTCAGGCGCCTGTGATTGTACGGTTGATACTCAGAATCCTCCCTGGCTCGCAGTATGATATCCACTCGACTTTGCGCACACCGGAGGAAAGCTTGAACCACATACGCTGCCACGCAGCTACATGAAAACTCCTACAATTGATGTTGCGGGATAGTACTGCCGAGGTAGAAGGTAGTTAGGGTCGTGCAGGACTTCTAGTATCCGCTGCATTGGCTACTCTGGAAACTTCTACTGCAAGCCGAAATCAGCTAGCAAAGACTCTAATCATCGTTACGCTGAAGCCCGCAAGTCCCTATAACCCTAACACCACATCCCAAAACGTATGGACCAGTAGAAATGGCACCTAACCCCCAAACCATACACCCCCAAAGCCTAGACCACATTTGACTCAAAGCTGCGATCTGCTTGAAACCCTACGCCTTACTTGGAGGGCCAAGGGCACTTAGTAAAAAGAAATATCTATGGCCCTATCAGGTGTAATTGCCCTGGCTATCCCATTATTAGCGTAATTGCTCGGTCCCCGAATTCTCCCGGAAAAGCCTAGATTGTAAGCCTTTCTTGGCTGAGGATCGGCGCCTCATCGCCAGAGGCCCAGTTTGCTTCAACGGACGCTCCCGTATTGGGGATTCATCGCAACTGGCCCCTAAAGCCTAGACCGCCTAAGGTCCCTTCGAACGTGTAATAGCGGCATTTAGGGTTTGGGTTTCAGGGTTTGGAGACACCGGGGGCCATAACCGGGTAATATGTGTTTGCATTAGGAAGTATTTGTCCGGATCGTTTGATGAACTTTCAGGCTTTTCGTTGGGAGTTTGTGAAAGAATAAGCTAAGGGGATATAGGGAATATATTGGGTTATATTGGGATAATGGAAAAGAAAATGGAAACTACTGTAATATGTAGGGGGAATAAGATGGTTCGCGGGCTGGAGGAACTTGCTCAGGGGGCGCGGGTTCGGTGTTAGGGACTCGCGGTGGTGTCGGTAGAGGCCGCTGGGCCAGGGTTTTGCTCTCCCACACACGGTTTTTCTCCGGCCCGGTCGTGTACATCGTCCACACCGGCGGCTCAGAGGGCATTAGACTTGGTGCTCCGTTCCCTCAGCATCACTGTTCCAGTTGGCTTTTACCTGCTGATGGAGGTCGCAGGCAGTATCACAACCCAGCAGCTCCGCAAGGAGGAGAAGAAATGCAGCCACGCGCCAGTGCAAGGCCGCACTGCGGACAAGGCATGCCAACATGCTTGGCAAAAGGGGTGGAGATGGGAGCCACCCTTTGCTGTTTGCGCCGCCCCGCAACTCTTCGCGGCTGCCGTCAGGGCCTTAAAGAGTGAGAATACAGAGGCAGAGCTGCCTCCAAAGGACTCACAACATTGCCCTGAACCGTGCGGGGTTTAGGTCCTAGGGTAGGGTTCCTAATGGTAAGGCGAGCTACGCGAGCTACTGTCAAGACTAGCCTTAACGGTGGACATGGTTCCCTATCGCGGTTTAGTATAGTCCCTCATATGAGCTATAGTCTAAACTCCTTAAAGGGGGGATATATAGGGGGTTATATAGGGGACTACTATAGGGGTTATTAAGGGGGATACTAGGAGTTTAGACAGTAGCTCATATAGTCCCTACAGTAATAAGGAACCCCAGTCCATCAGTTGTCTGTGGAAATATTGACAGTAGCTCTAATATTGAGATACAGTACGAAGGGGAGCCTGGGGCATCCTCATAACAGCATTTAGGGTTTGGAGACAAGGGTTTAGGGGTTCAGGGGTTTAGGGTTTAGGGATTTAGGCTTCAGGGTCGGGGGAATCCTCATAACAGCATTTAGGGTTTGGAGATAAGGGTTTAGGGGTTCAGGGGTTTAGGGTTTAGGGACTTAGGCTTCAGGGTTATTTATAAAGAACTTAGCACCCCTCAAAAGGGAAAATGGTTTATTCAACACCCCTGAAGATGAACAGGCAACGCCCCGCACACGAGGAACCATGCTGACTTCCAGGGCCACAAGTATCTGGGGGGCTTAGGATTCAGGGTTTAGCATTTAGGGTTTAGGGTTTAGGACTACGGGTTAGGGTTTAGAGTTTAGGGGTATATAGGGGTTTAATAATGTTTCAGACTTTCAGATTGCATCCAGATGATATGCAGTTGTAGGTGCCAAGAGTTGAGCTGCAAAAACTCCAGGGGCACCACCAAGAAAGAGGAAACGACCACGATCTCGACTTATACTCGGATGCCTTAAAGCCTAGATCATGAAAGTTTACCGAGACGCATTCAGGCCCCAAACCCTCTTCAAGGCGCCATAGGCCTAGGCCAAAACCCTAAACCTTAAATCCCTAAACCCTAATCCCTAAATCCCTAACCTAAATCCCAAACCCCTAAACCCTAAACCCTTACACCGCATCCAGCGTCCCAGGTCATCCAGTACAGGACAGGGCTGCCCAACAAATGCTTCATGGGAGCAAATCATGCGCGCATGATACCCGATATTATATAGGGTTTAGGGTTTAGGGTATATCTTAGGTCCCCAGACCTCCAACCCTAAACCCTAAATCGCATATACCCCCAACCCCTGAACCCTAAACCCAAGACCGCGCATACTCCAACCCCTTAGCCCTCAAACATAAGCTCCGAGGACTACAACCTGAACCCTCGAACTCTATATCCAATATCTTAGACCTTAAACCAATAGCATCAACTCTCTATATCCTAACCGTAAGGGTTTAAGGATTTAGCGGTTTTGGGCCTTGGGGTTTTGACATTTCGGGGTTATAATAGCGATAAGTATGGTTCTCAGTCCAGTGAATATACGAGTTGTTAGACTTGTACTGTAACTTGTACGTATAGCTATGTCACTACGGCGCCCCTCCTTGCATATCCCAAAACTCTATTCCGATTAACCCAAGAGTAGAAGCTGACAACGTTTCTCCCTGCTCCATGGACTGCGCTGTGAACTGTCCTACATTAACCCCTTCCAATCCTTATGAGCCTGAGTATATCATGCCCCAAACCCTATGCTATCTAGACAGGTCCCAACCACACCACCGTTTGGGGTCAAGGGCTAAGCCCTAAACCCCAAACCGTCCTCCCCTTCATTCCAACCCTGAATAGTGTTCAGAGTTTGAAATGCAGCGTTTAGGGTTTAGGCTTTAGGGTGAAGGGTTTAGGGCCTTGGAGATCCACAGCACTGATGCCAGGTGAGGGATCCTCCCTTAGGATTGAGGATTTAGGGGGTAAAATGGCTTAGGGCTTAGGAATTAAGATTTGGGGAGGCATGCCATTGGAAGGCCATCATGCCCACAGAGTCTATAGTTTGCTGTGCTGTATTCTGAGTGGCTGAAGTGCTAACGCCGGACTTTGAACCTAAACCCTCAACGCCAAACTAATCCCCTCCCCGAATTATGACCCCCGCACCCTATGAATGATGAAAGATCGGACTTCGTCAAGTCGAGGGACTCTTCAGCGGACAAGGACGCTTTACACTTTTTAGGCACTGGGTCTGCTTATGCACCCTAAGCCTTGTGTAAGCTTCATGAGAAGTTAGAAGCAAGGTCATAATTCCCTGAATTCAGCTTAGAATTGCGGTTATCCCGCCTAGAAGCCCAATAGAACCGCCCATGAGCCTCCAAGTAAACCCTAAATCTTACACCCTAAGCCCTAAACGCTAAACCCTAAGCCCTAAACTCCAAGGACTTTAGGAGGGACCCCTAATAGGGACCCTTGTAGCTTATGGAGGTTAATATGGGGACTACCTAGGGATATAGGGAATTTATACTGACTATACAAAGGTTATATATGGTAATGGGATTAAGGGTCTCTATTAGGGGTCCCTCCTAAAGTCCCTAATAAACCCTAAATCTAAACCTTGAAGGAGTGTCGGTCCCCTGTGCTGCGGCGGCATATGTCATCGCGCTCCAGCTCTTCGACACAAACAGTCAACGGTGATTTCATGCAAGAAACGGTATCGTTGGCCCCCGACCCTAGGGAGACATAGGGACCCCTCAATCCTCTGAATAATCCCCTACGACCCCCTTTACGGACTGTAGATTGCAGCTCACATGCAGTGCCCCGAAAAGGGGCCTAAGTCGTTTTGGTGGATATTCGAGGGATGCAGGGGTAGCCTTCCTTCTGTGGCACAGCCACATGCGGTTTAGGGTTTAGGTTTGTGGACACCTTAATCCCTAAACCCTAAAGCCCTAAACATGCCAGGCACTACTTCATCCTCCCGCCTTATATACAAGTTGCCAAATGCCTGATAATGAATGTTCCCAACATAGTATAGTATACCAGAACGGATTAGTAGTCGGGTATTTCACATCATGTCTACGGGATTTGGAGGGATATGATTAACCCAAAGCCTAAAGCCTTCACAAGCCGTGGAGCAGTTTAGGGTTTAGGGGTCTGGGGGTTTAGAGTTTGAAAACAAAAACGGCCAAGTGGATGTAGGCGTGCAGCGGGGCCCTTCTCTGCTGCTGCAGAGACTTTTTGCTGGGCTATGAAGACATGAAGGAAGCCCTGAACAAGCCCGAAATTCAGGATGGCATTTTTGCAGTCCACCCTGCGGTGTGGCAGCCTCTGGGGTGGCAGCAACTGCAGCAGGCCATGCAGCAGACTATCCCTTCCTTCATGAAAAAGCCCAAGCAGGTGCAGCTGCAGGACCGCTTGGCAGAGGTGCACATTCTGCAGCAGCCAGACGTGCCGCAGGAGGCAGCTGACTTGGCAAGCAGAGCCCTGCAGATCCCTTCTGCGCCGAAATAATTTGACAGCCTCCTATGCAGTCTGACTGGGGCGTAAGGCAGAGTGGAGGAGTGAAAGCCGACACTATCATACGGGGTTCTACAGGGATCCACCCAGTAGCGTTCAGGGTTTGGCATCTAGGGATTCTGAACTTTAGCAGTCCTTTACATGTGTATTCCTGCTCATATGTAAAAAGGCTGCATTACTATATGAGATCCATAATTCCCAGGAACAAGGTACTTGGGGTCATGCCAGATTGTTAGCATCCGCTGCTAGGCTTCTAGGCAGCGGATGGAGAAAATCTTGAATCACTTAGTGTCGCCGAAGAATTTGAAACGCTTGATATTAAAGATTCAGCATGACCGTTAGTACCTTAGTATTATGGTACTATAGTATTCAAAGGTCATGCATGTCAGCCGAAATGCCATACTCAGGACCCTATAGGTCGATGCAAGTTTTCCTGAGGGTCCAAAAATGCAATCCAAAGGGACTTTAATGGGAACCCTCACACAGGTAACTCGCATGATATTCCTACTATATTCTTGAGACCTGCCGGCCTGGGTTCCCATTAAACTCCTTGTTTAATCTGAATGGTTTTTGACAACTGGCACCCTGTTATTGGAATCCAAAACCCAAAACCCAAAACCTTAAACCTTACTCCTTGTTGGGGCACTTGGCCTCTTAGGGTTATCAAGGCAAGTGGCCTTGTGCTAGGGCTTAGGATTTAGGGTTTAGGGCTTAGGATTTAGGGTTTAGGGTTTAGGTTTTCGGATTAAGGGTTTAGGGTCTGAAGATCGTAGCGCAGAGGTAGATGGAACACTTCTCCCCAGACACCCGCAAAAGGTTTAGGACTTTGGGGTTAGGGTTTAGGGCTTTGGGCAAATACTCTAAAACCTACATCCTGAGGCAATATGTTGGAGACCGCAGGTCCCTAAGTGACGCAAGACTTCCTCCATAAAAGCAAGCTGGAAAATTATCCCCACCAACACTGCCCCCACGCAGTAACAGTTGGATGATAATCATCGTATTGAGCCCATAATTTTATCCATATTATAGACTGTTACTGGGTGGGGGCAGTACCCAAACCCTATACCCCTAACAACCTGGTAAGCCAAAAAAACTGCAAACTCCCAATGTATCCGAGGTTGACAGCGTGAGCCCGGGCTTTGTTTGGTAGCATGTTTGGGAGTTTCTCAAAAGTAGGGATACCCATAGGGTTTTGGGTTTTGGGAGTTTCCCCAAATTAGGGGTACCATGTTGGGGTCCCCATAATAAGGAGTGTAGTATTTTGGGTCTGTATTGGGGTTCTCCTTTTTGAGGGTTTCTGGGCTGATAGAGAAGGTCGCGTGCTTTTGGGCGTGGCATGAAGTGCAGTCCGTAAGCAGTTGGTACTGAGTATGCACTCCGAGTCTCATTCAAAGAATAGATGCCAGGTAATGTAAACCCCAAACCCTAAACCCTAAATAGTAGTTTCCATTTTCTTTTCCATTATCCCTATATAACCCCAATATAACCCCTATATAACCTCAATATACTATAGTAGTTTCCATTTTCTTTTCCATTATCCCTATATAACCCCAATATAACGCTAATATTCTATCTACTTAAGGATGGTTTAGACCACCATATCACCCCATGGCAGGCAGGGTAGCGTGTCAAGACGTGTTATTTGTCGGGGTAGGTTCAGGCCGTTTAGGGTGTAGGATGTAGGTTCTAAGGTTTAGGGGTTTAGGTTGCAAGGGTTAGGGCTGACCGATTTCAATGAGGGTACAGGTGTTAAGGTTGCTGGTCTACCGAAATAAGGCTCAAAAGAATTAAATTCGCTCGGATCCTCGAGGGTTTGCTTTGGGGCCTGTAGTTCCAAAGACGTTGGTACTTCGTAGAGATTATCCCTCTAGAATCCGGATACGGACCCCAAGAGTCCCATTCCAAACGTATATAGCCCTGGACTCTCATGGGCATTCCTGTTTAACGAAACTGCCACATAAGTTGTATTCAATTTTGGGAATGCCGTAGCCCTCATTATAGAGTATAAGGTTATATTATATCCTCCTTGTGAGTATAGGACTTCAGAACCCCAAACCCTAAACTGCATGTATGTACGGAATACAATCCTACTTGGTCCAACCACCAAGAAGAACGCGCTGCTCTCATCGACTTCGTGTAGTCCTCCTCAGGAGGGTGGCCTGCCTTTTAGGGCAGCTTAGGTCCCTTTAAAGGGGATTTAGGGTTTATATAGGGGTTATATCAGGTTATATAGGGATGTATAGGGATTTGCGGTTTAGGGTTCTGGGAAAGAATCCTGTCACATGGGGCCCCCACAAAAAAAAAAGAAAAAAGAAAAAAACTATCCTAAATCGTCCTCTACTGGACTGTAGGCTCAAGGAGTTGAGGGTCTAGCCCAAAACCTTAAACTCTAAACCCTAAACTCTAAACCCTAAACCCTTAACAGCTCCGGGTTCGGGGCTTTAGGTTCCAGGGCTCTACTACACTTAAGTAGATATGGGGTATGTGTTGATCATCGTGTTCGCTGAGTGTAGCTGGGGTGCCCTTAGCAGCATCCGAGAGAAAAGATATTGGGTGTCCGACTTAAATATCAGAAGTACCAAGAACCCCATAAACCCTCAAACCGCAAGCCCGAAACCAAAAAAACCCAATCGCCACCAAACACTCTGAGGTCCTAACCATGGGCCCTGACTTGGGCTCAAAGAGCTTTTTAAGGTATATCCAAAGGTACACAAGCCCATAGCCCCAACCTGAAATACCCTAGGCCCTAAACCCTAAACCCGAAACCGTAACCCTAAACCCCCAGGCCTAAACCCTAAGATACCCTAAACCCGGCTGTGGGGGTCAGGCTTGCCAGGCTAGAAGGTTTAGGGTTTAGGGTTAGGGTTTGATATTCTTACCTGAACCCCGAAAATGGGTAACCTTGGCATTAAATCCCTGCAAAAAATCCTGAAGGCTGGTATTCAACATATGTTTGGGGGGTTCATGCGCCCTACCTCAACCCTAGACCCTGACTTTTGGGGCTTGTGTAATACGAATCCTCCTAGCCCATGGATCAAGGTTTAGGATTTTTTGGTTCAGGTTTGGCCCAAGCCCTAAACCCGAAGCCCTGAACTCTAGTTTAGTGTTTAGACTTTAGGCCTTAAGGTCCCCAAAACCAAGGTCCCCAACGTGAAGCCCGAAACCCAAAGCTCAGGAGCATCATCCCCCTGAAAAACATTCTGGGCTTCAGCGTCGAGGCTTCAACTCCGGACACGACGTTTGTTTACTGGTTCGTAGTAAAAAAATAAGGGAATGTAATCCCTATATAATGCCTATATAGGATAGGGTATTCCCATTTTCCCTACTAACAACCCGTGAGTTTGCGGACGCATTTACACACAGCTTACCGGGTCATTCGTAACCTTTCCAATGAAAATGTGTTGCTATTTGATCAAGAGGGCCCCAATGTGCGGCCTGGTTAGGCTTTAGGTCACGCTCGCCCGGTTGTAGGGTTTAGGGCTTATAGGGTTTAGGATTTAGGGTTTAACCTCCAGGCAAGGCGTTGTACGCAATGTGTTGGTATCCGTAGCTTTTCTAGGTTGTAAGGTTATTCTAGATATTTGAAGGGTCAAGGGGGTCTAGGTAAGTAGACTCTCTGAGGGTCCAAGTACCCAACAGTTGAGTACTACGAAGGATTTGGGTGATAGTAGTTGTAGTTCAGGTTTTGGGGAGTATGTGAATGTAGAGTGTTTGGGAAGTATATGAATGTAGAGTGTTTGACTGTTAGAAACTTATAGCCCAAACAAGCCACATAGTGACTCCAGCTATCCCCACCTAAACCCTCAAGTATGAACAAATGCAAACGGTACCAGCCGAAAGTTTTTTTAAAAAAGAAAACCTGCACAAAAGTTGCTGAAAACTCCAGAGTTTGACCCTATGGGGTTTGTTATTTGCCTAGACCCTCCAATGTACTTCCTTTTCGGGTTTGGTATGTTTTTTTTGGTTAGGTGCTACATTGGAGGGTCTAGGTAGGGTTTCTGTACAACTCGTATAAATTGTTAGGATTTGGGGTTGAGGCCTCTCATTTGTGGAGTCATGATTCGGCCTATGCGTGTTTTAAACGGGGATATTCTAGTATTAGTCCGAAATGCAGAGTACACCTATTTCCTTTTGGCGGTTATAGTTTTGACTAAAAAGATATACTTCTAAACCCTAATCCCTAAGCCCAACCTTAACCATGTGGCTGAGAGTCTTACTTGGTTCAACCGCCAAGAAAATTGCTAATTGAGTTGTCGGGTTTCAGGTTTTAGGGTTTAGGGTTATAGGGTTTAGGGTATTGGGGGGTTCGGGGCTAAACCTGTACCCTAAAACCTAAGCCCAAAGTTAGGGAAACATCGGCAACCAGCATGGTGACACGTTAGGTAAACTCTAAAGCCTTGTGGTTCAGGAACCGTTTCAGGCTTATGAGGCGAAAGGTTTTGGAGGGGAGTTAGGTGGTTTACCGTGGTTGTACGTAGGGTTTATCGGGCTTACTATGTTTATAGGATTTAGCGGGTTCAGGTTTGTGGGGTTCTAGGTTTAGGCTTAAACCGTGTAATCGCTTAGGCCCCAAACCCTAAGCCCTAACCTCTTAAACCCTACACTCTAAAACGCAAAAAACCCTAAAACCCTCAAACCCCAAAGCCCCTAAAACCCTTCGGGCTTGCAGTGGCCAGGAGAACTTTGCGCTGCAGCGAGCCATGCTGGCCCGCCTTTTTTCCCAGGCTCTGGGCACAGTTCCTAAACCGGTAATATTCCTAAACCGGTAATATTTGGGTTATATCCTGCCTATAGGGGTTATATAGGGGATACATAACCATACAAACCCCATAAGCCCTATAAACCCTATAAACCCTGTGAGCCCTAAACGCCTTAGATCCAGGTCCAGGGTGTTGGCCTTTTGGAGTTTCAGGTTTGGGTGCTTTTTAGATTTGAGTTTGAGAGGTTGAGGGTTTGGATCTTTTTGGGGGTTTAGGGCTTGGGTGCTAAGAGTATATGGATTAGGATTGCAGGTTTCAGTTTTGTTGTGTTGCTTTTCAGGTTCGGGGCCTAGTTTGAAGGGGGAGTTGGGCGGTTTAGATGTACAGACCTCGTCACGTGATGTACGCGGACGGAGTATAGAGGATGCATAGGGCGCACATGGGATAAGTTCTTCTGGGATCTGTTTTTAGGACATGCGTTTTGAGGCGCTTGTGAGGCTTCAAATGACAGGACGTCGATTTCTGAGAGTCCTGGTTGATGCGGCCTGTGATTTCAGGATGCTTGGAAAGGACACCTAATGTCAACAACTCACAGAAAGCAGCAGCCGCTGTCTTCGCTAATCCTCACACCATCCACGATCTATAGACTACAGTGGGGGGAGGAAATCTTGCACCCCTTAGTTAGTAGTCGCTGCCGAACCCTGTTCAGGGTTCCGGGTTTAGGTTTGTGGGATCAGGGGTGTAGGGCTTAATTTAGGGGCTTCAGGTTTTGGGGTAGGTTATCTGCCCTAATGATATCTTCCTGATGTTAAAACCACCCCACCCTCCTAGGATTACCACTGTGGTATTTTATTTTATCATGAGTGGGGGTTTTTAATCTTGGAGGGAGCGGATTATTTGAATCTGAGCAAACTACAGTGACCTCACTCTCCTCGCAACTTCAGATTCGGAAACTCATATAAGACGCGGCAAGTAGAATAATTACTGCGCATTAACCCCTCATCCCCAAACCGTAGCAAACCTGGAACATTACGCTCCTAAACCCTGAGCCCTAAACCCTAAGCCCTGAACCCTGAACTTTTTGTTTGAGATTCCCAGTCCACACTTTCACGGGATAGAGGCCGAGCTGTAGACACCCTAACCTTCAAACCCTAATTACCCTCGATCCCCGCATGAGCTATAGTCTAAACTCCGTAAAGGGTGGTTATATAGGCGATTATATTGGGGAGTATTATAGGGTGTTTTAAGGGAGATACTAGGAGTTTAGACTATGGCTCACATACTGCTATCTAGAGAAAATTGTCTTCGTCAACACCAGATGATATCCTAAAGTCCCTTATCGCCGGATAGTTTGTCTTGTATAGATAACGCTCGTGCTTCGGAATTTGCCTTCAGGTGCTCTTAATCTGCAGTCTGACATAGTTGCTATAGCACTCATGTCTTGTCTTATGAAAGTTTCCCAAATCTACCCCTACCTGGACCCCAAAAGTAGGTAGAATTAGAGCCCAAGACCCTAAAAAGTAGCCCAAAAGGCTGTTACTCTACATAATTTTGGGGCTTCACTCTTCACGTATTCCATAAACCGAAAGACCCTTAGCCGCTGAGATTTGCTGCCGCCCTCTCTCGGAAAGCTCGCTGAGCGTCAAAGTGCTCAGCAATGCAGGACTGGGCAAGGCCAGCAGGGTTTCATGCGGTTTTGGGGTTATGTAGGAAAATGGAAAAGAGAATGGGAAGGACTATATAGGGTTTGGGGCATTATGGGGGAATGGAAGAGGGTTCATGGTTTAGGGCTTTGATTGGGGATTTCAGAGTTACAGGGTATGAGGCGTGGGTTTTCCGTCCAAGTATGTACCCGTCTCTCTCTGGGACCTACCAGGCTTGCAACATGAGCATCAGCGGCCCTGCGTTTTTCGAAACAACAGCAGCGGGGCCAGCATCATGAGCATCAGCTGCCCTGCCTGTCTCAAACCAACAGCAGAGGGGCCAGCATCATGAGACATGAGCATCAGCGGCCCTGCGTTTCTCAAACCAACAGCAACGGGGCCAGCATCATGAGACATGAGCATCAGCAGCCCTGCGTTTCTCAAACCAACAGCAGCCGGGCCAGCATCATGAGCATCTGCGGCCCTTCGTCATGAGCATCAACAGGCCGCGTTTCTCAAACCAGCGGCAGCAGGGCCAGTATCATGAGCATCAGCGGCCCTGCGTTTCAGAAACTGCCCTGCGTTTCCCAAACAACAAGCAGCGGGACCAGCATCATGAGCATCAGCGGCCCTGCGTTTCTCAAACCAACAGCAGCAGGGCCAGCATCATGAGCATCAGCGGCCCTGCGTTTGAGAAACTGCCCTGCGTTTCTCAAACCAACAGCAGCGGGGCCAGCATCATGAGCATCAGCAGCCCTGCGTTTCTCGCAGAGGGGCCAGCATCATGAGCATCAGCGGCCCTGCGTCTTGAGCATCAACGGGCTTGCGTTTCTCAAGCCAGCAGCAGCAGGGCCAGCATCATGAGCATATGCGGCCCTTTGTTTGAGAAACTGCCCTGCGTTTCTCCAACCAACAGCAGAGGGGCCAGCATCATGAGCATCACCGGCCCTGCGTTTCTCAAACCAACAGCAGCGGAGCCAGCATCATGAGCATCAGCAGCCCTGCATTTCTCAAACCAACAGCAACGGGGCCAGCATCATGAGCATCTGCGGCCCTGCGTTTCTCAAACCAACAGCAGCGGGGCCGGCATCATGAGCATCAGCGGCCCCGTGTTTCTCAAACCAACAGCAGCGGGGCCAGCATCATGAGCATCAGGGGCCCTGCGTTTCTCAAAGCAACAGCAGCGGGGCCAGCATCATGAGCATCAGCGGCCCTGCGTTTCTCAAAGCAACAGCAGCGGGGCCAGCATCATGAGCATCAGCGGCCCTGCGTTTCTCAAACCAACAGCAGCGGGGCCAGCATCATGAGCATCAGCGGCCCTGCGTTTCTCAAAGCAACACCTGCAGCGCCAGCATCGTCAGCATCAGCTGCCCTGCCATTCTCAAACCAGCAGCAGCGTGGCCGCCATCATGAGCATCAGCGCAGCTGCGTCTCTCAAAGCATCTCAAAGCAACATTTTAGGGGCCAGCATCATGAGTATCAGCGGCCCTGCGTTTCTCAAACCAACAGCGGCGGGGCCAGCTTCATGAGCATCAGCGGCCATGCGTTGCTCAAACCAACAGCAGCGGGGCCAGCATAATGAGCATCAGCGCCCATGCGTTTCCCAAAGCAACACCTGCGGGGCCAGCATCATGAGCATCAGTGGCAGCGCAGGCTCACCGCCAGTAGGGTTTCCATCAGGTCGAGGGGGATAGTCGCATCCATTTTGATCTACAGAACACAAGCGGAATTCCAAGTCCCCCTTGATCAGAGAAACTGGGCTTGTGGGCTTGGACAGAAAAGCGAACGTGCGCGCACACCATTACAAATGTCTTGTGTGGTGGCGTGCACGGAACGTATCCAGCGTAAACTTACGGGTTCTTAGTAGGGAACGCGGGTTCATAATCCCTTTATAATCCCAATAGAATATTTTCACATATTCCCCACTAAGACCCTATCGGAATGTATCTTATAGGGATAACAAAGGGATTATATTTCCCATACTCCCCACTAATCAACAGAAACTAAATCGTATGCCCAGGTGTATTCTACCTAACTCCTAAACCCAAACTCCAAACAGTAAGCGCAAGACCCTGACTGCTAAACCCTAAACCCTAAAACTTATGGCCAGGTGTATTTGGGCGCCATGTCCGTAAAGCAGCGGGTCAGAGCCCGAAGAAGACGGGTTTAGGGTCTAGGAGCCTTCCTTGAAGTTTGGGTTTCTGTGGTCTCCTTAGGAAATATGTTTCATTTGTATATTATATTATAGCCCTAAAGAATGATCAAAAAAGTATTTTCATTCTAGGTCTAAGCAGACTGCAGGTGTAGGGTTTAGAGTTTGGGGTTTAGGTGTTGTTTAGGGTGAAAACTCCTCAAATGGGGTTGCATAAGGGATTAGAAAGGGGAAGATTCTGAGGCTTATTAAGGGGGATACTAGGAGTTTAGACTATAGCTCCTATGGAAATAAGTCGGGGGTATATAGGGATAAGTAGAGGTTGTATAGGAATATCCAGGTTTAGATATGAATATGTGAGCAGCCGCACTTATTTACGTAAGAGAGTAGAAGGCTAGGCGCGTTGATATGTTTGCATTTGGGGTCAGTGTTCCTCTGGGAAGTAGATAGGGGTCGTGGATTGAACGAGATAGGCCACAGTTTCCTCTGCAATATGAGCCCGTAAATATTCCAACATGGCAAACAGCGTCAGGGGATTCTGTCAAGGTACAATACCAGATTAAATATATACGGCGAACGAGACGAGGGGCGGTGGATTGAACATGCCGCAGAAGGCCGGGTATTGAATAAAAGCCGCTGCTCATATATGTGTTATACATGAATATATGAGGGTTATATAGGAAGAAATAAGGGGCTCTGTAGAAGTGTACAGGGGTTATACAGGAATGTACAGGGAAATGGAAAAGAAAATGGCAACTACTGCATGTTTTAAGGATTTGGCCTGGCCGGGGTGTTTCGCTGGTTGAGACGGTTTAGGGCCCAGATATTACGGATTTAGGGCTCAGCACGCAGTGATTTAGGCTTAGGCCTTTTTAGTTAGGGTTCGGATCCTAAACCCTAACCCTAAACCCCAAATCTTGGAGTTTGCGGTGGAGGGAAGGTTGTGTGTAGGATTTAAGCTCGCGCTCATAAGGGAAGGCCTCGCAAGACATTGCATAGTGCAGGTACAGACATGAGCTGTAATCTGAATTCTTAGTATCCCCCTTCATCATGGAGAATCAAATGAAAAAGAAAATGGAAAATGAAATGGAAACTGGGATTCTCTAGGGGATTAGAGGGGTTATAGTCTAAACTCCTAATATCCCCCTTAATAAGCCGTAGAATCGTCCCCTATATACTCCGCTGTGAAGGAGTTTAGACTTCCACATGAACCTTAAGACTTGAAGAGAGGCTGCGGAAGGCTCCTGGACGTAGAGGTGTTCGCATTGATGATGCAAATCCATAAGGGCCATAGTGTAAACTCCTTGAAGGGGGGTTATATAGGGGATTGGCGGACTTATATTAAGTTTTAGACTACAGCTTGTATTCAATTAGGGGTTGCCAATCGCGTTAAGAAGTGCCCGCTTGTTGAAGGGCTTTTACTTGGAGAAGGGATGCCATCTTGCAGATTTCAAGTGTGCGAGCAGCAGCAAGATTGGCAAAGTCCTGGAGGCGATGGACGAGTCAACATTTAGGGTTTAGGGTTTAGGATTTAGGGTTTAAGGTTTAGGGTTTAGGGCTTCGGGTTTGCGACTGTGCCAGTAGACAAGCATAAGAAGCAAAGCTGATAGTGATTGGCGCTCTTGAGCCTGCAGCCCTCGCATGTGAAAGGGAATCATACCCCTATACTAACCCAGACCCATGATTAATAAACCCCCTCCCCCTAATAGGGATTATAATAGGGATCCATATATTTATGCCCTTAAAAGGAGGGGGTTTATTAATCATGGGTCTACATTACCCCCTACAGGCTCTTTCTTGATTTGACTTAGTTAACCCTATCTAAGCCTCATGAAGGGAGAACCCTGGGGGGAAGTGTTCAGGGTTTTAAGTTGCAGGGTTTAGGGTTTA